AAGGGCAACCTCTGCATCTCGCCAATGCTCACGGAGTTCATTGCAGAGCAGCTGAAGGCGGAGGCAGCTGTTGCCAAGGAGAGGCGCAAAGCCCGCGAGGAGCGGGCGGCGCGCGCATAGGCCTTCGGAAGCTTCTCCCAGGCGGGTGCAGGCACCTCGGTGCCGCCTGGGCGACCCCTGCATTTTCGTGGCGACCAGCGTCGCCCCCGTCTTTGATTGAGGTTGGGAGACCTCGGCTCGCCAGCCCCCTTGCAGCTCCGCAATGAAGCCTGCAGGGCGTCAGCGTGACGTGTTCCCTCTGCCGCCGCTCGCGCTGGATGAGCGCGCTGCTTCCTGTCGCAGCCGGCGGGGCCAGCAGCGGGCGCAGCGTGGAGCCGCGTGGAGGCGTTGGGCTAACGACGGCATCGCGGCGCTCAACCAGCTGAGCGGCCACGGTGCAGGTGTGGCGGCGCCGCCAGGGCTGACGTCATCAGCTGCCCAGGCGAGCGCGCTGGACCACATCAGCCAGGCCTTTCGCGATTTTCCTGTGCCTCCTGACTATCATGAGGACCGAGTTTCAGGCGAAGCAGCCCTTGCAGAGCTGCTCGCTTCGGCGCCTGGGTATTCCGCGGAGTCTCAGCGCGTCAAGCCCTACAGCAAGGACCTGGTGTCCTGGCCCGACATGTCTACCGCACCTGTGGAGGTTACAGAGTTGGCGGATCAGGCCGATCGTGAATGCTTGTTGGGATGGAGACGGACCATGCTCAAAGGTGAGATGTCGGCCTCTGATTCCCGAGATGCGCCAGCTCCGCGGCGCCCGTACGTGGACCCGATTTTGGCCAACAGCCCTCGCGCCTACGCTGGTTTCGTTGGGAAGTTGCTTCAGGGTGGCATGATTAGCTTCCGCGTGGCGCGTGCTGCTGATCCTTATAGTTTGGGATTTTTCTTTGTTGAGAAGGTGGGTAAGGGCACGTTGAGACTCGTGTTCGACACAAGAGTGGCGAACGAGGATTTCGAGCCCCCGCCCAAGACGACGCTTCCGACGGCTGCTGCTTGGTCCGCCTTGGAGTCGCAGCGTCCCGTCGTTCTAGCGCAGGGTGGCATCCAATGTGCATTCTATCACATGCTGGTGCCAAAAGGGATGGAGGAATGCTTCACGTTGCCCACTATTTCAAATCAGTTGTTGGGGATTACTCACGTCGACGGATTGCCAGTGGCTAGCGTCTGCTATCGTCAGCCCATGGTGCGCGTGTTACCGTTGGGATGGAGTTGGTCGCTTCTGTTTTGTCAGAGCATCATGCGCAGGGCTCTAGTGGAGAACGGGTTCAGTGACGGATCGTTGATCGAGGACGGCCGCCCCAGTCCTGTGCTGCACTCGCCTGTGAGTTTAGCTGCTGCTGGATACGTTGATAATTTTGCAGTCGTGGGTTGTGATGCAAACATTGTGACGGCAAAGAGAGATCAGATTACGCGGACGCTTGAATCGTGGGGGTTACCTATTCACTCCATCGATGCGGCTTCACCGAAGACTGTCTTCACTGGTCTCGAGATCGACGGGGAAAAAGACACTGTGCGGGTCAAGCCCTCCAACGTCTTGCGCCTGCGGCAGGCCACTCTGGCTGTCCTGCGGCGTGGGGCGGCCTCGCCCCGCCTGCTGGAAGTCTTGCTCGGGCACATCACGTGGGCGATGATTTGTAGAAGAGAGACCTCGTCTATTCTACACTCCGTCTACGCTTTCAAGTCCCTCAAGGACCCCAACGTCAGGCCTTTGTGGAACTCTGTAAGGTTTGAGCTCTGGTGCGCGGCTAGTACGCTGCCTCTGTGGTCCTCGCATTTGGGTATTCCTTGGGGTTCACGGGCCTCCGCTTCGGACGCGTCTCCTATTGGCGTCGGCGTCTGTACTCGAGATCTGGACTGGCCCCAGGTGGCCGACATGGGGAGGGTTACGGAGCGGTGGAGGTACAGGTGCACGGCAGCAGTTACAGCAAGGGCTAACGCATTGGGGCTGGATGAGCTCCACCTGGAGGAGGGCATCTTGGACTCCGTCGCCGTGGACTACGTCGAATCGTTCAACCCCGAGGGCTCCGCCAAGGGCTTTCTGGAGGTCCCCAAGGAGATCATGGAGGCCTCAGCTTGGGCCACGGTCATCTCGAGGGTGCATTGGGATCCCATGAGGAACATCTTGGAGCTCGAGGGGGGGGCGTTGCACGACGCCGTTCGCCGCGCGTCCCGTAACGCCAGCTTGCACCATCGTCGTTATCTCTTCTTCGTCGACCATTTGCCATTGGCTTTAGCCGCTGGGAAAGGGCGGGGGCGCAAGCCTGTCCTTCGGCGACCTCTGCGGAAAATTGCTGCCCTCGCTCTTGCAGTCAACTTCCGATGCTATCTGCGGTGGCTGCCCTCGGATCTGAATGTAGCGGACGGCCCGTCTCGGCATGGCTTCTTCCACGGCAAAAACTTCGAGGAGGCGGCCGCGGGCGCGCCAGGGGCAGCCAGTGGCGGGTCAGCGCTCCATCACGCTGAGGGTCGCTCGGAAGCAGCAGCATCCACGGCCGATGCAGCTGGCGGAGGGCGCCATCAGCTTCCTGGAGATGTCTGCCGTCACGGACTCGACCAGGGAGCGCTACAGGGGTCGCGCCGAGAGGTTCCTCGAGTGGGTGACTTGGCACGGCCTGGACTTTCACTCGGCCCCGCAGCTGGACGTGGCGCTGGTGGCGTTCATGACCGACCTGGCCTTGGACGGGTTCGACTCCGCCACGGGGAGGATGTCAGCAGCCGCTCTGAGGCATTTCTTGCCCCAGCTGCTCGGCGGCAGGCGTCCTCTCCCTCGAGCGGCCCGAGCCCTCGACGGCTGGCGGCGGCTGGTCCCCCCGCAGATGCGGCTCCCAATGCCGCGAGCTGCGGCCATGGCAGTTGCTGGTTGGATGATCTCTCGCAACTTGCCCAGCATGGGGGTGTTCGTGGCGTTGGTGTTTCATGCGTACCTGCGGCCCTCGGAGGCTTACCGTCTGAGAGTGAGCTCGTTGGTGCCGCCAATAGCTGGGACGGGGTTCAGCTCATGGGGGATCATCGTCAACGACGCGAAAGCAGGCCGGCCTGGCAAGACGGGCGAGACCGACGAGTCGGTGCTGGTGGGTGCGCCAGAGCTCTGGCCCGTGCTGCTCGCGCTGAAGGCCAACAGGGAGCCCAGCGCCAGCCTGTGGAACTTCAGACCCGCCGACATCCGCCTGATGTTCGCCCAAGGCTTGAGGGAGCTCGGGCTGCAGAAGGAGCCCCCGTCCTTGTACACCCTCCGCCATGGGGGGGCCTCACACGACTTGCTCTCGGGGTCCCGATCGTCGGCGGAAGTGAAAGAGAGGGGCAGATGGGTGGCGGACAAGAGCTTGAGACGGTATGGCAAGCGCACTTGGATGCAACAGAGAATCGGAGACCTGCCCGTCGAAGTCAGTCGCTTTGGAAATCAGGTGCTCGAAAGATTGGCGGAGCTCATCGTGTGCAATTTTGTGAAAGGCCATTTCCCGCTGGCTGTTCCTCTTCAGCCCATGCCTGCCGTCCCGCCAGTCGCAAAGCGGGCGCCAGTTCTGACCGTGCGCTAGCTTCTCGTTTGAACGGGGCGTTTCGACGTGCTCACGCGTGGGCTTCTCGCCGCAGGCGGCTCGTTTTGCCTGTGCTGGGGCCTCATGGTGCCCCCATATGCAAAGCGCTGCGCAGTCGCGGTTTGGGTTGCCCATCCTTCGGAGCAGGTCGGAACGCGAGTCTAGGTTTGACTGAGCGAGTAGTGGTCAATCGAATCCTTGGCTGGATTCGGTCGTCCGCTGTCTGCGCTTTGTGGATCTCCTCGTCTCGTAGTACCTGGACGCAGCCAGGCGTCCCGCCTTGCCGTTCTGTGGCGGACCCTTGGGGTCGCAAGTACGGCGCGTCCAATTCAGTGTTGCTCCTGCCTTTCTGTGTGACAATGTCGAGATGCAGGCTGCCATTCAGATTTTGCGTGCGTGCGTGAAGCATCATGTGCCTGTGTGTTTCGAGCATCCTCGTAGCAGTTTGATCTGGCATGTTCCTCAGCTAGTTGAGCTAATGAACCATTCTGCGTGTCTCAACGTTCAGGTGGACCTGTGTCAATTTGGTGCCGCAGCTCGCGCTCCCACACGTGTGTGTTGTTGGCACTGCCCCAGCTTGTCTCGCCTGGCTCGCGTGTGTGATCACGGTAAAGAGTGCTGCTCGTTTTCGGGGCGACCTCACATGCGTTTTGACGGCCGCACGGCAAAAGGCGTAGCGTGCAGGCACAAGGCTGCCCGCTTTCCCGCTCGAGCAGCCGAGCTTGTGGCAGATTCAATCGTTTCGTCGACCGAGGAATTGTCGCAGGCCCGATCTTATTTCTTGGGCGGCCTGCGGCCATGAGTTTTGTGTTACACAATGTACGTCTGTGCTGCCCGCGAGTGTCCTGGTCACTCTGGGAATCGAGGCCGTCGTTACCTGCCATCGCCACCATCAGCTTCTCTAAAAAGAATGTTATGGCCTCGGGGACCCGACCTGGCATTGTAACAATTTTAGTGTGGTGTGTGCTGGGGAAGGGGCTGAGGGGCCGCACGACCGCTACTGTTGTGCTCAAGCTCCCGAACCCACCCGCCCTCGCTTGAGGGTTTTGAATAGATTTAAGTCTGCGTCTGTGCTGCCCGCGAGTGTCCTGGTCACTCTGGGAATCGAGGCCGTCGTTACCTGCCATCGCCACCATCAGCTTCTCTAAAAAGAATGTTATGGCCTCGGGGCCCGACCTGGCATCTTCATCATCATCATCTTCTTTATCATCGTCCTCATTATCATTGTTAGCATCATCATCATCATCATCTTCATCATCATCATCATCATCACATCATCATCATAATCATCATCATCATCATCAGCAGCAGCATCATCATCATCATCAATAGCAATTTGGGGCCCGCGGGCCTGGCAACCCTCGCGTTTCTGGCCTTCCGCCCCCCGCGCGACGCCGACGTCCCAGAGATCACTCCCGCGCGCAGGTGCTGCGAAGCCGCGCCAGCCCACCGCCAGATGCTGCGGAGGTCAGGCGGGCTTTGCCAGAGGTGGCCCTGGCCCAGGGTGTCCTGGCACCCACTCGTCGTGGGGAAAAAAACGACTACAGGTTCTTGCCAATTTTGGGCTTCCGGTGCCCCCACGGGGCCACGGGACCGTCAAAACAAACAACTCAGGATGAACAGCTGGTTCCCGGGAAGAGGCCCAGTCCTTTGGGGAACCACATTGCAAAGAAAAAGCGACGTCGGATATCTGTGTGGCCTTATTTTTCCGAGAGGTACCAGATGATTTCCAGAGTACGCTTCACGAGGCCTCGACGGCCACACGGGTCCAGATCCGTGCAGAAATCTGAACGCCCAGATAACTTCAAAAGCCGCATCCGAGGCCCGACTTCGCTGCGTCGTTTCGAAGGAGAGTTTAGCCGTCATGGCGACGAGAAGCCCACCGGAGGCCCAAACAATCAGATCCCTCCCCCTCGCTCTCCTCCACCTTCAGTCTCCGCTCACAATCTGTCCCTGGACACCTCCTGGACTTCACCTTGGCCAGTCTTTCGAGCCGCGTCCAGCCGTGGCGGTGAGACCTCCAGGAACGCCCAACAGAGCAATCGAAACTACGATGACGACGATGCTCCTGCAAACCCGACGAATATGGAACACAAGCAAGAGTCACCCACGTTCCTCCCCTTTTCTTCCGGGGATGCGTTCTGGTAAGAATCTTGAGGGGAGCCCAGTCATGGCGACGGGACGCCTCCAAGACGTTCCAAATAGACGAGAAGCATCCCACAACGTTCTGCCCTCGATCCAGAGGCCAGGATCATCAATGCCAGAACTTCAGGCCTCCCAGCTGGGGTTGGAGTAGAAGGGGTCGGAAGATGGCGCCTCCGACCTAATCTGCTCCAGCCCCGCTTCCGACTTGGACAAGACAACCTCAGAGGGTTCTTAAAGTTGACGGAACCCCCCCCACACACACACACACACACACACACACACACACACACACACACACACACACACACACACACACACACACACACACACACACACACACACACACACACACACACACACACACACACACACACACACACACACACACACACACACACACACACACACACACACACACACACACACACGCACGCACGCACGCACGCACGCACGCACACGCACGCACGCACGCACGCACGCACGCACGCACGCACACACACACACACAGACACACACACACACATTACACACAAAAACACTTCTCCGCTAGCAAGAAGGCCCGTCTGTCCCCTCCTCGTCCTTCTCCTTCTCGTCCTCTTCCTCATCCTCCCACGCAATGGGCGTCTCCTGCTCAGCCTGTGCGTACAAGGAGGAGGAGGAGAAAGAGGAGGAGGAGGAGGAGGAGGAGGGCGATGGGGAGCCTTATGGTAACTCTCCCATCCACCCCCACCCCCCCTAGCTGGAGATGTGCGCCGCGAAGCTCGAAGAAGGCAGCAGCCATCCCCACCCAGGGGGAGGGGGAGGCCAGCCGACGGGGCCAAGGCTTCCCTGGCGAGGTGTGGATCCGACGCTGCGAACCAAGTTCGGCGGCAAGCGAGGGGGGGATGTGAGACGGAGGAGGCCCTCTCAGAAGGCGGCGTGGCTCCTCAGAAACCCTCCAGGCTTCAGAGATGTTTTCTGCGTCTTCGGGGAAGGCTCAGGAAACTTTTCGGAAGGCCAGAGGCCTTCCGAGCATTATGAGGAGGCCTGGTCCTTCTCACTTCCCCCTCGGGCTCACCGCCAAGAAGTGCAACATCCCGAAACATCGCGCCTGGAGCCTCAAACTTATTTTTGCAGCACTTGTTGAGCAAGGTCGATCTGTGATGGCCCCGGGCCTGGAACCGGGCGAAAACGCCTGCAGGGGAAAAAATCGCGAGGTCGGGATCTGAGGGTTACTTATCCAAAAGAAGCGGCCCCAGTGCGAAAAAATGCCATGCCCAGATCTCAGGGTTCCTTACTGCCGGCCATGGCCACGTCTGGCAGCCTCCGACAAAGGGGCGCGGTCGGCTCCCGCTGTTCGTCGCGGACGTCGCGGGCGGCGCCCGCGCGGGCGCCGCCAGTCTGCGCGCGGCCGTGTCGACGGAGTGGCGGGCCGCCGCGGACGCCGAGGCTTCTGGAGACGGCGTCGCGGAAAACAGATTCGAAACCAAACAGAAACCGTTTTGTTGTTCTGCCCAATCGATTTGGGGGTCCTCGGCAGGCGGTGGATACCGATCTTTTGGGGGGCCCTCGGCCGAAATATATCCGAAAGAGCGCGCCTTCGGCACACTTCTCATTAAAAGGGGGCCCCAGCTTCAAGCTACCCCCCCACCTTCCCTTGGAAGGGGGGGGCTTCCGAAACTACCCCCCCCTCTTTCCTTTTTGCGTGCATTTTTCAGCTGGGGGGGGTACTGGGTAAAGGGGGGGCTTGGAAACTGCCCCCCCTTCCCCTCTTTTTCGGGGCCCTGGGTCAGCCCGGGCTTCCCTTTCGGGGGGAAGGGGGACTTCCGAAGCTCCCCCCCCCTCGTCCTTTTGTTTGGATTTGGTAGCAGGGGGGTTTTCCTGGCTAAACGGGGGGGGAATGGAAGTTGCTCCCCCCCTCCTTTTCGGGGCCCAGGGTAAGGCCGGGCTCCCCTTTCCATCCACAGGGGGGGGCTTCCGAAGCTACCCCCTCCTCCTCTCCTTCTGTTGGCTTTTCCAGCTGGAGGGTCCTGGCTGAAGGGAGGGCTTCGAAGTTACTTTTCTTCGTTGGTGTTCGGCGCCCCGTTGGTTTTCGGCGTCCTTGTGGTGTGCGGCGTCTATTTGGTTTTCGGTGCCTCTTTGGTTTTAGGCGCCGCTTGGGCCTTTGGCGCTCCTGCGGTTTTCGGCGCTCCTTTGGTTTTCGGCGCTCCTCTTGTTTTCTGCGCTCCGGTGGTTTTCGGCGCTCCTTAGGTTTTCGATGCCGCCCATTTTGGTTGTCTGTGCACCCTTCGGTTTTCGGCACATCGCTGGTTTTCTGCGCCCCTTTGGTGTTCAGCGCTCGTTTTGGTTTCCGGCGCCCCTTGAGTGTTTGGCGCCCCTTTGATTTTCGGCGCTCTCTTGGTTATTTTCGGTGCCCCTTTAGTTTTCGGCACCGTTTTGGTTTTCGGCGACCCTTTGGTTTGGGGTGCCCTTCGGCTTTCGGCGCTTGGGTTTTCGGCGCCCTTTAGTCTCGACGCCCTTTTGGTTATCGGCACGTCTTTGGTTTTTCGGCGCCGTTTTGGTTTCCGGCGCATCGTCGGCTTTCTGCGCTTGTTTGGTGTTCGGCGCCGTTTTGGTTGTCGGTGCCCCTGTGATTTTCGGCGCTCCTACGGTTTTCGCCGCCCCTGTGGTTTTCGGCTTCTTTTATGTTTTCGGCGCCCTGTCCTTCTTCGGAGCTTCTGTTGTTTTCGGCGCCCCTTTCGTTTTCGGCGCTCTTTGGTTATCGGTACTCCTTTCTGGTATTGCGAATGCCTCCTGGCCAGTGCCGCCGACCCTGAAGGGGGACGTCGACGACGACGGCGGCGGCGGTGGCGGCGGCGGCGGCGGCGACGACGCTGACGTGGCCCGAGTCCTCAGGGATGCTTGAGGGGCTTAGTTGCCTCGAAACGCCCCTTTTGAAACGCAACACGTCCCGTGTTCAAGACGTCCGTGTCAATACGTTGCGTGTTATCCACGTATTGGCCCACGTTTTGGCGAACGTATCGCGTCGGACCTACGTTTTCAGTCCACGTGTTGAGCTCCATATCAATACGCTGCTTGTCGCGTGTTGCGTATCGGGGCAGCTAAGTTGAGGGGGTCTCTTGGGAAAGCTGTCGGGGGCCTCTAGGGAGGAATTGTGTGGTCTGTTGGGAACCTCTTGGTGGCCTCCTGGGGGGCTTTTCGGGTGTCCTGGGGACCTCTTGTGGGCTTCTTGTGGGCTTCTTGGGGCCTCTTGGGAACCTCTTGGGGCCTCCTGGGAGCTTCTCGGGGCCGAGGGCTCGAAATGTCCGTTCGGGTTCCCAGTCAAGGCGCGCTCTTAGAGTCGTCTTGGGGGCTTCTTGGGCCGTCTTGGAGGTGTTTTGGGCTGTCTTGGCGTTATCTTGGGATGTTTTGGAGCGCTCTTGGGAGACTCTTGGGCCGTCTCGGGGCGATCTTGAGGGCCTCTTCCGCCTTCTTGGAGCAGCGAGAAGCGGAAAAGGCGAGAACGCTCAAATCTGTCAACATCTTGCGCAAATCAGTGATGTTTGCCTCGTTGGGGTCTCTCGGGAGTGTGTGTTTTTTGTGCCGAGGGCTCGTTGGGCCGCCCGTCTTGGGCACCCTGTGGAAGAGTCTCGGAAGTTCGGAGGCCTCTTGGAGGTCTCGTGCTCTTTGGTTATCGGAGCTCCTTTTTTGGTAGTTCGGCGCCCCTTTGATTTTCGGCACATCGTTGGATTTCGGCGCCCCTTTGGTTTTCAGCGCTCGTTTTGGTTTTCGACGCTCTTGGATTTTCGGCGCTCCTTTGGTTTTCGGCGCCCTCTTGGTTTTCGGCACCCCTTTAGTTTTCAGTGTCCTTTTGGTTTTCGGCGCCCCCTTGATGTTCGGCGCCCCTTAAGTTTTTGGCGCCATTTCGGTTTTCGGCGCTCCTTTGATTCTCGGCGCCCTTGTGGTTTTCGGCGCCCCTTCAGTTTTCTGCGCTTATTTGGTGTTCGGCGCCAGTTTGGTTGTCGGTGCCCTTTTGGTTTTCGGCGCCCCTCTGGTTTTCGGCACCGTTTTGGTTTTCGCTACCCTTTTGGTGTTTGGTGACCCTTTTGGTTGTCGGCGCCCCTTTGGTTTCGGGCGTCCAAGTTCGGCGACCCTTTGGTTTCTGGCGCCCTTTCGGGTTTTGGTGCTCCTTTGGTTGCCGGCGCCCTTTTGGTTTTCGGCGCTGCTTTGGTTCTCAACGCCCCTTTAGTTTTCGGCGCCTGTTTGGTTTTCGGCGCCTCGCTGATTTTCTAAGCCTTGTTTGGTTTCCGGCGCCTCTTTGGTTCGGCGCCCCGCTGATTTTCTAAGCCTTGTTTGGTTTCCGGCGCCTCTTTGTTTTTTTCGGCATTTGCTCGCTTTTCGGCGCCTTCTGGTTTTTGGCACTCATATGCTTGTCGGCGTTCTTTTGCTTTCGAAGCTCCTTTCGTTTTCGGTCTCCTTTTTGTTGTCGGCGCCCTTTTGGTGTTTGGCGCTTCTTTGGAGGCTCCTTTGGTTTTCGGCGCTCCTTTTGTTTTCTGCGCCCTTTTGGTTTTCGGCGCACCTTCAGTTTTCAGCGCCCTTTCGGTTTTCGACGTTCCTTCGGTTTTCGGTGCGCCTCTGGTTTTCGTGGCTCTTTGGTTTTCGGCGCGCTGTTGCTTTTCGACGTTCTCTTAGTCTTCGGCGCTCCTTCCTTTAGCCAAAGGGGGGGGGCTTCCAAGCCCCACCTCCTTTAGCCCAAAAGTGTGTGTGTGTGTGTGTGGTGGGGGGGGGGGGGGCGGGGGGGCGCTTCCAGCAGGGGGGGCTCAAAGGGGGGGAGGGGGTAGCTAGGGGGGAGGGGGTAGTTAAGCCCCCCAACTTTGGAAAGGGAAGGGTCGGGTAGTAGCTTATGGAGTGCGAAAGGAAGGGAGAGGCGGGGTAGCTTCCAAGGGGCAGAAAAAAAGGGAGGAGGGGGGGGGCTTCCGGAAAAGGGGGTTTAAAGGGGGGAGGGTAGCTAAGCCCCACCCCCCTTTGGACAGGGAGGGATTGGGAGCTTCTGGAGCGCGAAGGGGAAGGGGTGGGGGTAGCTTCCGAGGGCGGGCAAAAAGGAGGGGGAGAGGGACTTCCGGCAGGGGAGGTCCAAAGGGGGGGTCCCCCCCCTTCTCTTTGGCAGTGTACCACGGACGCGCTCTCTCATATATCCATATCCACCGCCCGCTGGGCCCAGGCGGTGAATGTGGAGAAATCCCAGCCTCGCACAGAAGGGGAGGCAGCAGCAGCAGCTGAATGGGGCTTTTTGGCATATTTTCTCTTCTTTCTCTTGCCCCCCCCCTCTAGTTCTGTATTATTGCTTGTTGCTGTCGATATAGTTATTTCTCTCTGTTTCTCTCTCTCTCTCTTTCTCTCTCTCTCTCTCCCTCTCTTTCTCTCTGTCTCTGTCTCTGTCATTTGTTGTTCTCTCCATATACATATGTATATATATATGTGTATATATATACCTCTTTCTTTTGGTATTTTTTTTCTCTCTCTCTCTCTCTCTCTCTCCTTCTCTCCTCAGGCTCCCCAGTGTGTTGCAAGTTCGGAGACGTGGGCCCGCTGCCGGCGTAGCTGGACGGGAGGAGGAGGGGACTGCGTTCCAGAGGGTGGAGAGGCGGACAGCGACGAGCTCATGGGTGAGGATGATACGCAGGATGATGACGCGCACGAGTGCGAGGGGATACAGAAAGCAGGGGAAGAGGCGGCGATGGTGGAGCAGGTCGTGCAGACGATGTTGTACTTTCGGTGCCATGCCGGAGGATGGCGAGGGGGGCGGAGAAACGTGAGCCCGATGCCGTAACGGCCGCGACGACGATCCGTGGCTCCTGGTGGCTGGTCGGCTGTGCTCCCTCCGGATCGAGGCCTCTGGGGCCAGAAGCGGCACAACATTTACCGAGAACATCCTAGAGAACACCCCCCTTCGATCCTCGTGGGTCGAGGGCTAAAATTTGCACCGGTGGTCGCGACGATGTTGACAACGGTCGGGGGCTCGACGCAACGGCGCGAGGGCATGGGGCGCCGCGCCCAGGCAGGATCCGGACCGCGCCACCAACGCTGCCGACATGTTCGGGGAGGCCACGCACTGGGTATGGTCGGCGGCGCGCCGAGGGGGGAAGCGAGAGGGGGCAGGCCTTCTCAGAAGGCGGTGGGGCTTATCAGAAGCCTCCTGGCCTCCTGAGAAGCCCTCTGTGGCTTCTGAGAAGGCCGAGAAAGGTTCTCAGAAGGCCGGAGGCCTTCTGAATTTTCTGAGAAGGCCCGCCCCCTCGGCCTTTCCCTTTTTTGGGCGCGCCACGGATCCTGAGGGAAAGGGACCTTGAGGTAGTTCGTCGATTTCAGGCCCTTCCGAACTCTCCGCAGGGATGAAGCGATTTCCACCATTGGGAGCCACCAGGAATCAGGACCTGCCTGATGCCAGTAGAGGTAAGAGGAAATGTGAAAATTAGTATGCCCCCACTGAACCGTACGATTGAACAGCTCGCAACTGCGTCTGTGCTTCAGCTCGATTTTGGTTTTGCCTTTGGCTTATCCTGACTTTGGACTTACTGAACCGAAAGGTTTGCCAGCGTGGGCCCAAAACCGTGGGTACTTGATACAAGCGTTGTACATATACAGTATCCAATGTATGTGGTGCAATCGTTGTGGTGCAATCTACGCGGTGCCAAGCAATGCGGTACAATATCTGGAGCGCGCTCTACGTGGTGCAACATGCTCCGTGCGCGCTATGTCGTACACGATAGGCTGTTCAGCATGATAGGTCTGAAGCTACGAGGTACATCCAATGTGGTGCAGGCTATGGGCTACGTCGTGCCACCCACGGGGGACAGTTGGCGAGGCGCAAATATGTTGAAGATCGTGAAGTGGTCAACTCCAGCGATCGAGCAAACATCCCTCCCACCCAAACGCAACTTGCTGGCAATATTCAAGAGGCCGTAAGCGGAGCTGCCACTAGAAACTTGCGAGCACAGCTCAACATGCGAAGTGGCGCGACGACCTTCCTCACGGAGATTCACTAATCGGGCCGTCGTGGTGATGGTGCCAGGGGGAGGGGGCCTGGATAGAATTCAGTTGTGAGGAAGAGGTGCTACACGATTATGAGGAGTTCGATTTTGAAACGCTTCAAGACACCCGTGATTGATTGGTGTCGACATGGGCGCGCGGGGGCGCGCTTCTGTGGCCCGCATTGTATTGCTTGTCAGGGATGAAGGGGGGGGGGGGATTTTCAATGTATGAGGTGAGCAAGTGCGCGATTGGGCTTCAGAACTGTGAGTTGTTTGGAAAGGCGCGCGCGGGAGAGTGTTGATGGGGCTCGCATGGTGGTATTTGACAGTCAAGATAGACAGCCGATGATTTTCCGTGTAGGTATTCGCAGTTGCAGGCGCTCGGAAGTTGGCCATGCCTTATTGAAAAGCAACGAGCTTCAGATGTGTTTCAAGAACTTTACGTTCATACCGTTTTAGCGCCAGTTGTTTCAATGAGATTTCCGCATGCGCGCGCGGTGTCGCGCGTGTATGCCCCTCATTGCATCATTGCACATGAGTTCTTATTCCCAAACCCGCGTTTACACTTAAAGGCTCTTACTCCTGCTCTAAGAAACTGGGCCATGTGGTCAGTCTGGCTGCTATGCGGTCGCCGTCGCCGCCTCGTTTCAACCTCGTCGCCGCCCGTCGTCTGAGGTCTGAGCCATGTAGTCGGTCTGGTGGCCATGTGGTGGCCGTCGCCGTTCCGTCGCCGCGTCGTCGCCGCCGTTCGATTGCAGCATATAGATTGCAGTTCAGATGGCATCATATAGACTGCACAATGTAGATTGCACAACGTAGTCGTCCCGTCCCCCTCCCCTTCCCCGTCTGTCTTTCTCGCTCATGTCCCCACTGCCACTCCCCAGGCCGCAGTTCATCGCATCAGCTGGCCTGTGGCAACTCGGCTCGTGCATCGATCTTAGTTTGCCTGGCGACGTTCTGATTCACGTTACTGTGCCAGTCACGCCGTAGTCGGATTCAGTGGTCTCGCGCTCCCCATTTCCAATATTCCCGGAAGAATTGACTACACCGCATAAATTACACAACACACATTGCACCGCATAGGTTGCGCCACATTTACTGAACCACGTAATTTTTTTTCTTGGCAAGTGCACAGCATACACTGCTACACGTAGTTTGCCGAGCATTGGTTGCACCACATAGATGGCTCAACCGAGATTGATTGCACCATGTATACTGCGCGACAGATTTTGAACAGCATAGTCTGCACAACCTTAATTGCAGCACGGTGGTTGCACCACATATGGTGCCCCTTATATTGGTAGCAATATCTTCGCATATGCACATATTTATATATATATATATATATATGTCTATATGTATGTATAACTGCAAACACATGGTTCGGGGCCTACGTTGGCTTAAATGAATGGTTGCGCACCGTATTGTGTTATTTGGCACGCGCGACTGGGGGAGTCGACGCCCGCTTGGCAAGGATGTTGCGACTTCACATATAAGACGAACGGTCGTGCCTAATCGACCTGCGTTCCCGATGCGCGGATCGGTGCCGTTACGCTGTTAAGCCCGGCCCCGGCAGGGAGGTCGAGTCGAATCTTCTGCAGGAGAAGGAATCGATTGGGCTCAGGTTCTGAGGGGCGATCTAACTATGGGGAACCGTTTTTCTCACTGGGTTGTCAATTCCACTACTCGCGCAACAATCCCACCCAACCACCCGCAATTTGGTTTGTATCAGCCCATACGTTGGCGATTTTGATAAGTGCTTAGTGTTGGTTTGTGCATCTTTGCGGCCGCGCCAGCCCGCGCATGCTCGCACGCAGCGGCCAGCTAGTTTAGCGCGACCGACGCGGCCGCGGTGACGCTGACCGTTGGGCTTTACCCAGCAGGCACGTCTATGCGAATCGGCGGCTTGGGCGGGCGCGGTACCATGGCAATGTCGACAACGGGAGACACGAGGATGACAGTTGCGATGCTGGCGACGGTGACGACAACGATGACGGCAAGGCCAATGACGGCACCGATGTTGATCACGCTGGCGAAGATGACGGCACCCTCGCTTCAGCGATGGATGTGTTGGAAAAGTTTGACATGTGCGTCCGGCCGACGCGCGAGAATGGCCCGCATGGTAGTACTTGACACGGATCATGCCCCGTCAGAGCACGCGCAAGGGCGTTCGAATGATTTCGACATGCAGCGCGAGAGGCCCGGTTGGCAGATTTCCATGGTAATGTTGACAATTGTTGGTTTTTAGAAACAAATCACAAAAGCGCGAACACAGGCTTTTCGGAAACTGGGCGTTGCAAAATCATGTGTTTGACATATGTTTTCGGGCACTCGATCTTGACATCCTGACGAAACCTTTGTTTTTGTTGACGGATTCCGGGTTCCACGCGCGACGACGCGCGTGTGTGCACTTCGTTTCATAGTTCGCAAGGGATTCTTGCAAAAAGCACGCGCGCAGGGGCGCCCGATCGATTTTGACATGCGCGCGAGAGGCCCGTGTGGTAGCCGGTTATGGCAATATTGGAAACACCAATGGTTCTCTTAAGAATTCGCGGAAGCGCGGGCGCAAGCTTTCTGTTGGGTAGTATTTTTGTTAAACCATGTTGGAACCATGATTTCGGGTCGATCCTTTTTGGATTTCTTGTGAAGCTCTCGGTTTTTGAATGATTGCGGCATGCGCGCGCGACGACTCGCGCGTTTGCATTTCATTTCAGGGTTTGCAAGCGGGCTTTTCGAAACCTGATGATTTCTGGTAGACGAGTGTTCGCGCATAGTCGTTTTGGCAGATGACGAAGGGGGATGCCGAAACCGGCCTGCACAGGATGCCACGAGTTCAAATCTAGGATGGACGATGGGGCAACATCGTCTGCAATTCGCCATACGAAAAAGAGGGAGTCGTTCTTTCCAGGGGGGTCTTATTTCTTTTTTCCCAACCATCCTGTGGTGTTGGGTCCTCGTTTTGAAGAGACGGTGCCCCGCGTCTCCTCTCCCTCCTTCCTTCCTTCCTCCCTCTGCCTCCTCCCCTCTCCCACTATCACAGCACACCCCTCACACGCTTCGTGGCCCCATAAGGAGCTCCACCGAGGGCTCCAGTGGCTGCGTTCGCATGGCGGCACCGCGCCCATTTCGGCACACCCCTCACACGTTTCGTGGCCCCATAGGGAGCTCCACCGAGGGCTCCAGTGGCTGCGTTCGCATGGCGGCACCGCACCCATTTCGGCACACCCCTCACACGCTTCGTGGCCCCGTAGGGAGCTCCACCGAAGGCCCCAGTGGGTGCATTCGCATGGCGGCACCGCACCCATTTCGGCACACCCCTCACCCGTTTCGTGGCCCCACAGGGAGCTCCACCGAAGGCCCCAATGGTTGCGTTCGCATGGCGGCACCGCACTCATTTCGGCACACCCCTCACACGTTTCGTGGCCCCATAGGGAGCTCCACCGAGGGCCCCAGTGGGTGCGTTCGCATGGCGGCACCGCGCCCATTTCGGCACACCCCTCACACGTTTCGTGGCCGCATAGGGAGCTCCACCGAAGGCCCCAATGGCTGCGTTCGCATGGCGGCACCGCACCGGCACACCCCTCACACGTTTCGTGGCCCCATAGGGAGCTCCACCGAGTGCCCCACTGGCTGCGTTTGCATGGCGGCACCGCACCCATTTCGGCACACCCTTCACACGTTTCGTGGCCCCATAGGGAGTTCCACCGAGGGCCCCAATGGCTGCGTTCGCATGGCGGCACCGCACCCATTTCGGCACACCCCTGACACGTTTCGTGGCCCCATAGGGAGCTCCACCGAAGGCCCCAGTGGCTGCGTTCGCATGGCGGCACCGCACCCATTTCGGCACACCCCTGACACGTTTCGTGGCCCCATGGGAAGCTCTACCGAAGGCCCCAGCGGCTGCGTTCGCATGGCGGCACCGCACCCATTTCGGCACACCCCTCACACGTTTCGTGGCCCCATAGGGAGCTCCACCGAGGGCTCCAGTGGCTGCGTTCGCATGGCGGCACCGCGCCCATTTCGGGACACCCCTCACACGCTTCTTGGCCCCACAGGGAGCTCCACCGAGGGCCCCA